TATCCATTCCATTGGGTGGCCCAATTTGAGCCCCCGGTCTGCATTAATCCTACATAATGCACAGATAAACCCACTGACACAATAAAAGCGGGATACTCCGTGGTGAAACCTTGTTCAGAGTACTCGATGGACTTACGACTTGAATCCTAAGCGGTTCATTTCTCAAATCTATCATATAAGAAGGACTTCGCAGGCTTGTGCGCTTTCTTAAACCGTAGGTGCGTAACATTTTAAAAAGTATCAGATCTAAACCATGGCAATGTTAGACACAGCTCCGTTGTGCGGAGGAGAAACCGTTGGAGAGAGGTCAGTATGTTAGAGTTCACTGAGGAAACTTTGAACGGGTCATATTTCACATAACTCTTACCTGGAACATCTTTCAATCGTGGGGGGGGGAGGGTAGGTGGCAGATCTGTGCAAGACGCTTGAAAGGCGTTAGCTCTTGCCAAAACCGTTTACAAAGGTAGAATGGAACGGAAAACTCCATTAAAACTCGTCCCTGCACCCGTGCGCAGCTCAAGCCGAAGGACAGCAGACTGCATCACACGACGGACTGATGATTGATGCACTTCGGCAGCGACGGAGTGGCACCCAAAGGGCTTCAAGTACCCAACGTGAAGACCTCGTCTCAGACCTCGTAATGATGAGTAAAAGGGGAGATGTGGAAGGTTGTGACGATGAATAATATGAGATGGAAGAACGTGGGCATCGAGACTAGTCAACACTGATCTTCTTTAATTACGAAGAAGCATCTGACATTCATCGTTGTCGTTAATTATAGCTGAAATTAATATTCGCTGGTTTTTTGCAAACCACTGTCTTTTGGCGGTAGCGTTATTCCAGAATGAAGACTGTATACCGTCTCATAAACTGCCAAAGTAAAGTTAATTTCGATTCTCTGTTAGCAATTTTGAATAATGAGCAATTGTATTCAAGGTAATTTTAAAGATTACATTTCGGTTTCTATGATGCATCGAATGCCGGTTTATTTACGCCACCTATTTATATCATTGCATTGATGTATGGTTTCTTATGTCACATTTCATTGAATCTACATGCCGCCTGCCATGACTAATCATCTTTTCCATTATAGCCATAGAAATTTGACAAGGCTAATGACCAACGACCAGTCAGTTCAGTCCAGAAGTCACAATGTCATGACTCCCCCGCGATAATTTATGGCGATTTCGTTCAGTCACCAGTGCAAAATTGACCTTCAGCTGTGACAGAAACAAATGATTACGTTTGGTCATAAGTAAGTAGAGTATGAATCATCTCAACTAGATTTAAGCCGTTGGTATATTGGTTTCAAATGGTACTTCACCTTCAGCAGTGTCGAAAAATCCATGCGCCATGTTCGCTCGAATGCAAACTTCAGACGTTCATAACTGATTGCCATGATTCCGACTTACAAATAGTTTGTTCATTTGTGTCTGAGGTAGCCTGAGGTTCTGAAAACGACATTGTCTTGCGACATGATATGATATGTGATCATGCAGTCTTCAGTACAGACGTGATTCAAGGCGTTAATCATTGACATCGAAATCTAGATTCAACGAGGCAGAACCGAGCGAACTGATATTATGGAGCATCACATTTCTATAAGTCGTGCAGAACGAAACATCACA